TCTTGTCTTACTGTGTAGGGTAGAAACACCAAATGCAAAGATGAACAGAAGTGGTGAAAGTAGGTATGTCTTTTACAAATAACATGATTCAGGCTTTCACACACAGTGTTAGCTCGTTGGCTTGTAAATGCCTTCATCAGACTGAGAAAGTTCTCTTCCTGGTTTGTTGAGTTTCCTTGTTTAAAAAATCAGAAATGACTGCTCCCCCCTGTCCCATTCATCTACTGATAGCTTGATGCGTGAATTATCTTGATGGAGTTTTGAACTTTAGACCAACACTGCGTTCTAGGAATAAAACCCAGGGGGCCATTTTCATATTTTCCTACATTTAGATTCCATCTGAAATATCTTATCTGTTTGGAATTTTTGTACCTATCTTCACAAGGTGTTATTAGTCTGAAGTTTTATTTTTCTTGGTAATGTCATCTGATTTTGGGATCAGTAACCATGTTCTGACAGAACAAGTTAAACTATTGCTTTCTCTTAAATCTTCGGATTTTTGTCTTTTCAAAGAATTTATCATTTCCACCTACACTGTCAAATTTATTTCCATAATGTTTTTCATCACATTTCCTATTACCTCGCAGTATCTGTAGTAGTCTGTATTGTCAACTTGTCATTCCAAGTACTGGTACTTTGTGTCATAGCTAGAATTTGTTTTACTGAGCTTTTCTTCTTTGGCTGCTATTGTTTTTCAATTAATGTTTTCTACTTTGGTAATTACTTCCTCTCTCCTGCTTACTTTGTGCTTAATTTGTTCTTGTTTCAGTTTACCAGGGTGGAAGTTCAGACTTGCCTGACTTTCTAATAAAGAAATCTGGTGCTATTAATTTGCCGAAGCCATGCATTAGCAGCATCCCACTAATACTGCGACGTTGCTGTTTCCATTTTGGTTTCAGCTTATTTTCTACTTTTTTTTCTTGAATTCATGAGTTATTCAGAAATAGGGTATTTAACTTCTAAAATTTTTTTTAATTTTCCAAGGCTTTTTCTGTTACTGATTTTGAATTTAATTCCTGTGCAGTCATGGGATATATATCACAGAACTTTAGCCTTGAAAATATACTGTGACTTATTTTTATAGCCCAGAACATGATCTATCTTGATAAATGTTCCAAGAACACTTCAAAAGAATGTGTAGGTGTGTTCTGCTGTTGTTAAGTGAGCTATAAACGCTAATCAGGTCAAGCTGGCTGATGGTATCATTCTGGTCTAACTAGAACGTTGTTTTTGCCTACTTATTCTATCAATTATTGGGAGTAGGATATTGATAATTTCTTCCTGCAATTCTATCACTTGTTTATTTTAAGCTCTGTTATTGGGTACCAACACATTTAGGATTGCTATATACATTGAATTAACTAATCCCTATTTTATTATGAATGGATTTTTCTGGGCCTTCTTTTAGATTAATCTCACATTTCTAGACATACTTTCTTTTCACGGTGCTATACATTCCTTTTTTTTTTTTACACTGATCACTTAGCCCTAACTTTAACCACACTGAATATGCATATTGGTAGGATTCCATCCAACTCCTCTCTCCCCAGAGAACTGACCCTTCTCTGATGTCTGATTCAGTCAGACACAGATTTTGCGATCTTTACTCAACTTTTACTCACAGACTTTGCTAACGAAGCTGTTTAATCCTCAGATAAGTTAATAAATGTTAGTTCAGAGAAGCATACTGTGTCTGGAAGCAGACCACTGGGACTGTGCCATCAAGCTTGTGGTGATTCAATCAAATCTATTCCGCATGGAGGCTTGAATACTCATATAAAACATGATCTGATCACCCTCAGGTAATGAGCACAAAACCATACAGACTGTACCAGGGGCCCCAAGATATACCTCTTGAGAAAAACCAGGACAATACCTACAGCAGCATCTGCATGACTGAACTCACCAGATACTGGTGTTCAGAAGAGAACCAGGAGACAATGTTTCAAGCTCATGCTGCTTTCCATGCCACGATCAATACACGCAAACACTGGGACAGGCGTTTGTCACAGTGGTTCAAAGGCTATCTGCAGCCCATATCTCAGCTCCTCCCTTGTGGATATGTACCACGGCAGGTAGCAGATGCTGGCTCAACCTGAGTCCCTGCTACCTACTTGAGAATCCCAGACTGAGTTCCTGGCTCCTTATTTGGCCTGGCCCTCTATAGCTACTGGAAACATTTGGGAGCAGGTAGATCAATCGACAGATGAGGATCTCTCTGTATCCTTCAAATAAGATAAAAATAGATAAGTAAAAATTAAAAAACACAAATACTTAGGGGCTGATGTGGTAGTATGGTGTGGTGTCCCTGGTATCCCACAGAGGTGCTGGTTCAAGTCTTGGCTGCTCTGTTTTTGAAGCAGCTCAAGTCCTTGGGCCCCTGCACACACGGGAGACCCAGAGGAAGCTCCTCGCTACTGGCTTTTAATCATCACCTTAGCTCCAGACATCATGGCCATCTGAGGAGTGAATGAGAGACAGAGGTCTTCCCTCTCAGCGCTTCCCATGGATGGATTTGGGGAGTGAGAAAGGAGTCACGGAAGACTCTCAAGATGCTCGGTCAAAACAACTAGCAGGGCCCGGCGCAGTGGCGCAAGTGGTTAAAGGTCCTTGCCTTGCACGCCCGGGATCCCATATGGGCGCCAGTTCTAATCCTGGCGGCCCCTCTTCCTATCCAGCTCCCTGCTTGTGGCCTGGGAAAGCAGTTGAGGACGGCCCAAGGCTTTGGGACCCTGCACCCGCATGGGAGACCCAGAAGAGGCTCCGGGCTTCGGATCGGCATGGCATCAGCCGTTGCGCTCACTTGGGGAGTGAATCATCGGACGGAAGATCTTCCTCTCTGTCTCTCCTCTATGTATATCTGCCTTTCCAATAAAAATAAAGTAAATCTTAAAAAAAAAAACCAACTAGCAGGACGGAGTTCTCTAACCGTGACTGTGGAGGCTAGGGACAGGTTTTATGCTGCATTCTGCTTCAAAACAGTAAAATTTGTACATGTCAAGTACCCAAAAGATCTTGCTGGGAACTGAATGGTAATGCTTTAGCAAACTTAAAAATTAATTTGGGAAGAAATGACACCCAATCTGTATTTCATTGAGATGGGAAGAGTAAGGCCCAAATATTCTTTTCAGCTTCTGAGGAGAGCGCCATAGTTTTTTTCATTTAGTTCAACATCTTTCCTGATGGAAGTATTCTTACACTTTTTCGTTGCTATAGTAAATGAGACCGTTTAAAGAAATTACATTCTTTAGATGATTTCATTTAGCATTTAGGGAAGTTACAGGCATTTTATTCATTTAATTAGAAACTGTAATAAACTATTATCTTCCCATTGATTCTCTTAAATCTTGTAGACACATATATATCAAACCTATAATTTCTTTCTACTTATGAGAATTGTATATGTCATTTCTAATCCACCTTTTTATATATTAGCTGGAATTTCCAAACAAAGTTAGATAATAGGTCAGAACAAGCACTCTGGTTTACCAGGTTGTCAGTTTCTCAGGATGATGCTGACATCAGTGTCATTTTCCAGTTTTAAATCCAGTGACTAACTAGATTTCTATCTTCCCAGATCTTGGTCTCCTCTTTCACTGTTGCATTAGTTGCTACTTCCTTTTGAGTCCTGATCAGAGAGTGATCAGAAATTCCAGAGATTTCCTTATCAGCCTACTTCAGAAACAGCAATTTGATCTATATTTCCTACTGTAGGCATGCAAAAAACTAGAATTTCCACAGAAAATCCAAAATAAGGTCAAGTTACAAAAAATTTTACAAGTTGCATATTGCTTCCAATGCAAGAAAAAAATATTAACTGAACAGCCTGTAACCATATCTTAATCCCATGAGTATGAACTTTCCTTTCTTCTCAGAACACAAACCACAGTCTCAGACTTAGAAAGATAGTAGTTAAACAATCTAAGCTTTATATTAACACAGAAAACAACCTGCTACACAAAAAGGTGGGAGATGTTTTCTAATCAAGAATCCACTGCATAATCCATAGGCTACCTAGCCCATGGAAGCAGGTGCTAAGGACGGCACAGGTAGGACAGAAATGACACACTAATCATAGAGGTCACAGTCTACAGTAAGACAAAAATACAGCAGCAACATAGAGCAAGAGAAACCTTCTAGATAGCTTCTCAAATGTTAGAGATCTGTTCCAATGGGCTGTGCCAGAAGATGGGCACCCTACAAAGCCATCTGAAAAAAAGCAGAAGGGGCACTAGGAATGAAGACTGTGGTGGAAAGGGGCTGAAGGGAACAAGACTGCAAGCAAAAGCAACAAGCTAAAGAACATAGCACCAGAAACGAATACCTGACCTGGTACTGACTGCCTGAGCCTACCGAATGCCGGACGCAGGGGCTATGACCCACCAGATCCCAAAGGTCTGCTGTGCCCAGACAGGAGTCCACCTTGAAGACACATAGCAGGAAGACAGTACTGGAAATTCAAGGGGGTGATGCTCAGCCCACAGGAGGACTATGAAGATCTTTTCCAAGATGGAGTCAAAGTCAGAATAAGTTTACAGCCCTCAAGAAGAAGAAAGCACAGTATTGGGGGGAAAGCACCATTTGAGGGACAAGGGGAAAGGCATGACTGGAATGAAGGTCAGGTTCAGGGCTATGGTGACTGACAGATGAGATCACTGGCATGGAAATGGAAGACTTGAGAGAAAATCTAAGTGGGAAGCATCCCAGGAAGGTGGCTGGCAGAAAATCCGATTTCAAAAACTCTTCACAAATAAACTAAACACAACTGAATGAGACTTGCAGAGCTCAAGAGAAAAATGGAAAAACCGTGGGACTGTTTGTGAGATGGACACACAGGAAGAAATGTGTGCCCTGGCAGCAGCGAATACAGCTTCAGAACTAGAGCTTAGAAACCCAAAGGGCTGAAACTGGGAGTTAATGACCCTCACCAAGCACCCTCAAGCACTGCTCCATCGCGCCCAATGGGAAGTCTCCAGGTAAGAAGGGAGCCAGACACATACCTTCTCTGCCTTCTTGTCAGAGATGTCCTGCTTCTCGAGCACGGCCATGCTCTCCTTCAGGTTCTTCACAATGTCTGCTGGTGACTTGTGAGACTTCCCAAATGGGAACGGCATGGCGGCAGCGACAGAGGCCTACACGGCGCTCTGCCTACGTGACCTGCAACACAACACATGGCTCCCATGAGACAAGAGGGCAATCAGCAGAAGACATACTTATGCTAAGGCCTAGTCTAGGAAGACAGTATTTAAGAAAGTCATTTTTATAAGACTTGCAAAATTAATAGGAGCTAGGAAGCTCAGTAACCTAAGTTACAAGAATAGGGCACCCAAGGCTTTTGACAGCACCCAACCACCACCCGAGGTAGATTCTGCTACTGCTGCAAGCAGCCACCACTCACAGGGCAGCCACTGTGCCAGGCCCGAGGCTGAGCGTGCTACTTCACATTCTCATGGATGCCTTTCAACAACGCCCAAGGGACACGACTGCTGCCATGTATAGGTGAAGTTGAGAAAGACAGAGCTGGCTCACTGTGCTAGACACTGAAACAAGCTCACATCTTTCCTGATCCTGAGCTTCCGAATCCCCGCACTACACCGCCCCATGAACAAGCATCTCTGGTTTACAGCTCAAGAAAACTGTGGTCAAAAGCTCCCCAAGGGGCTTAGCTGAACTCAGCAACAACAGGCTTGTTTCACAGGTCCTTCCTCCTGCTCCTTTCTGAGCTCACAGTGCTCCCCCCAAATACGCCAGTGGAGCACCGCACATCTGGTACACACTTCCCCAGAACACCCTCCTAGTCAGCCAGTCAGGGAACCCTAGACGGGGTCCTGGACTAATCTAACAGATCCTCTGATTCCCAATGTAACAGCTTCAATGCACAGTTTTTCAGCTTGGACCTATTCATCTCTTAGGAAAGAACTCCCTAAACACAACATAAGAACAATGAAGTTCTGGAAGCTCTTAGTTTTTAGTAGAAAACCGCATTTCAGCCACATAAACCACAATATTGTATTATCCAAAAGGAGGAGCTACAGCTACACCAAGAAGATACCAGGAAAAAATAAACAAGACAAATAATGGAAGGGACTTGAGAACATGTGACAAGTCTTCATTTCTTTTACTAAGTAAAGAAGTTAAACTTGGGGCTGATGTGATGGCTCAACTGGTTGAATGCAAGTGCCAGCATCCCATATAGATGCCAGTTTGTATCCTACTTTCTCATTTTCCCATGCAGTTCCCTGCATATGACCCAGAAAAGCAGCAGAGGATGGCGTAAAGCCTTGGGACCCTGCATCGGTGTGGAGACCCAGATGAGGCTCCTGACTTTGGATTGACTTAGCTCTGGCCATTGAAGCCATTTAGGGAGTGAACCAGCAAACTGAAGATCATTCACTTTCTCTCCTTCTCTCTGTAAATCTCCATTCTAATGAAAATAAATCTTTTTTTTTTTTTAAGTTAAACTCATAGGCGTTAAAAACCCTCCTATCAAATACTGAAAGCTAACATTTTTTCAGGATGTTTAGTTCTCCCTTATCAATGGCCTTCAGGTAGGAAGAACATCTACCCATATTTAATCATCTAGGATGTACTCTTCTGAAGCCCCCACTCTTAGTAGAACAGGTGGGTCTCAGATAGCCAAACCTTCAAAGCACCTCAAGACTTCCTTTGACCCAGTGCCTATAAAACTGTATCACATAATACAATGTTAATAACAATAAAAAAAAAAGACTTCCTTTGAGCTTTCCTGAATATGACACTTGAACAAAGAACTTGAATTTTTTTCCCCTTATAATTTCAAATACAGTGACCTATACATCTGTCTACAAAGCCTGGATATTTTTGGAAAAATACACGCAAGTGAATGCCTCTGTGAAACCTATGTTAAATTATGATAAACAAGCATATTATGTTCAACATGATTTGATATGATCTGTTCTGATCAATCTCCATCCCCAAATATCACCCATATCACCTCTTACATCCTTTCTTGGTCAATTAAGACTACAATTCATTCCTCATTGGTTCTCAAAACTTAAGGATGCTCGCACACACTTTTAAATATCTTTCTGAAGAAGAGTTTGGATTGAATAAAGGAGAAACACTCCAAACTAGCTGTTGCATTATCTCTGGTTCACGTCCTCTGAAGACATCGCCCTTCCTATCTGTAACCGCACAGCCCAGCAGTGATGCTGTCCACGTCCCTGCTGCCAGGGGGTGGGACCGTTATTTTGTAGGAAGTGTTTTGGTGCTATGCAACAGAGATATTTTCAGTTCTGACTCAATGGTAGAAGAGGGAAGTGTCCAGGGTAAAGGCTGTTCCCAGCAGAAAGAGGACAGCTGCTGTAGAGAAACCCAGATAAAACATGTGTGCAGCTGGAGAGGAGCAGAACACGATCCTTCCGCTTAGTCCACCAGGGAGCTGACTTGACAGACTGCACAGGTAAAGGAAGAAAGCCACACAGCTAGCAACAAGTGCCCAGAACAACAAGTGGACATTCCTCAGGAGGACATATGTGTGAAATGATTCATGACTGCCCTCCCTTCCAGTTTATACATTCAATGATTTAGTTTTTAAAACAGCCAAATAATTACATAGGGGCAAGCATTCATGCAGCAGTTAAGATGCCCCTTGGGGTGCCCACATCCCATACTGGAGTGTTAACTTTTTTTAAAGGACTTATTTATTGTTATTGGGAAAGCAGATTTATGGAGAGAAGAGACAGATCTTCTACCCACTGGTTCACTCCCCCAAATGGCCACAATGGCCAGAGCTGAGCCATTCTTCCTCCCCAGCTGCCCGAGGCAGCCAGAGCTGAGCCAATCCAAAGCCAGGAGCGTCTTCCAGTCTCCCACGCAGAGGCCCAAGGCTTTGAGCCATTCTCCACCGCTTTCCCAGGCCACAGGCAGGGAGTTGGATGGGAAATGCAGCAGCCAGGGACATGAACTGCACCCATATGGGATAATGGGATCAAGCCACTGTGCCATTTGGGTGATAGGTTTTGAGCCCTGGTCCTCATGATTTCAGCTTCCTGCTAATGTGTACCCTGGAAGGCAACAGGCAACGGCTCAAGCACTCGACTCCTCACCCCCAACGCAGGAGACTGTAGTGAGCTCCAGGCTCCTGGTGTTGGTCTGGCTCAGCACTGGCTGCTGTGGGCAGCTGGGAGGGAAGATCGCTGTCTCTTTGTTTTTCAAATAAAATCAAAATTTTTAAAAATACATGCTTTCTAAAAAAGCATGAAAGGTCAAATTTCAAAACATAATAATTTAGAGGTAAACAGATCATACTTTTCAAGGATGAGCACAGTAATTCTCAAGAGATCTTTTTATTTCCTTTATGTTTGCCCTCAGAGTCACTTCTGAATGTAGCTAAAGAAATAACACTCTCCCAAACTTTTGCGTTAGAGAATTCCTGGTTTTTATATCTAGGTTTACTATATGTTAAGCTTAAATATATTATATTAATGTATATTTGTGATCCAACTTTGCTAAAAGTTTATCTATTTACATAAAGGGAACAAACTTCTTTCGTGACACAACTTTTACAATAATGAAAAATTTCAAAATATATGTCCCAAAGTACCGTGTCTCACAAGCACTACACTGAAGTCATGGCTATGTCACCTAAATACGTTCACTGAAAATATATACAAAGAAACTAACAGTCAGTCAAAGAGGCTGAATCAGAAAAAGAGAGGATTTAATTTTGCTATGGTGATGGTTAAGAACTTTTATAGCACCCATTTTATTCCTTCAATTACCCAATGCATAACTTTGAGAAACACGAAAACTAAATTTAAAGAAGTCAATGGAAAAAATCAAGCAATCTGTTCTTCATAACAAAAAAGCACTAGTCCTAAAACATCTCAATGTAAGGCAGAATGACAAAAAGAGCTGCCAACTTCCTCATCTTAAAAGGCAGGGAAGGCAAGACACACATTCAGTAAATTATACACATACACATACGGACACACAAGACGAAAACTTTAGTGTGTTCTATTTCATTCAATTCTATTTTTAAAAATGCAGGTGATTAAACAGACTCCCTGAGTCACCAAGTGATTTCAGTAGTCATGAAGAGGGACAGGAAGATTTGGAACTAAACACAAACTAGTTTTAAAGAGTTTCAACTCTACCTGTGCCACTGCGCCAGGCCCTCAATTTAGACTTTCTAAAGAAGAGTTTTGAGTATACTGAAAAGGTGATCATTGAAAGCCCTTATGCCCACCATCTAGATTTATAGTTTTATCGTAGCCACAAGGCTTAGTAGTCAGCATCTTTCCAGGAGCCAAAAGAACAGTGGTGTGGCTAGACCCCTGAGACCAGGTGAGTGGAGTCCAGGGGGTCTGGTAAGGAATTGAATTTAATTCCAAGGGCAGTGAAAAGTGATTGGAGGGTCTTGATAGATTGATTCTCCCTGTGGCCCACTAAAATTCCTCCAATTCTTCCACAAGAAAATGCTGCTTTTCCCTGTGCTAGCCATTCCTGTCTCCAGCTTGGACATCTCCATTCTCTTGAAATTGACCTGTCCTAAATTCTGCCCAATCTACCTTTGTGGCTCCTGGCTCCAGCTGCAGCCATTGCAGGCACTTGAGCAGTAAACCAGAGGATAGAAGATCGTTCTCTCTCTTCTTTTCTCTGTTTATCTGACTTTCCAATAAAAATGCATAAAATAAGCCTTTAAAAAAGAAAAACTGCCTGGGCCCAGCACGATGGCGCAGTGGTTAAGGTCTTCGCCTTGCACGCCCGGGATCCCATATGGGCACCGGTTCTAATCCCGGCAGCCCCGCTTCCCTTCCAGCTCCCTGCTTGTGGCCTGGGAAAGCAGTGGAGGACGGCCCAAAGCTTTGGGACCCTGCACCCGCGTGGGAGACCCCGAAGAGGCTCCTGGCTTCGATCGGCATAGCATCGGCTGTTGCGCTCACTTGGGGAGTGAATCATTGGACGGAACATCTTCCTCTCTGCCTCTCCTCTCTGTATATCTGCCTTTCTAATAAAAATAAAATAAATCTTTAAAAAAAGTATTAAAAAAAAAAAAGAAAAAAAGAAACTCTAAATTGAGGCCAGCATTGTGGCATTATGAGGTAAGCCACTGCCTGTATGTAATACTGGTGCCGTTTTGAGCCTCCACCTCCAATCCAGCTCTCTGCTAATGG